CCTATTTTTAATCCCGTAATTGTTAAATCCCTTTGCATTATCGACTTCTATATTTTCTAAAGCAGCGCATTTTTTTCCAGAAAAGTCAGAAATTCATCAAGAGTTGGCAACAGTGTTTGTGTATCTGAAGATGTGTTTGATAATCTAATTTTTGCGTAATAAGAAAACCTAATATGACGTCCCATTCTTAGACAGGCAATTTTAATGCTACCAATGAATTCACGTGCTGCTTTATGTGTGTTAAAAAAGCTCTTAGTTGTTTCCCTGTACTTCTTGAAATATGAGGTGCATCTAGCATACCTTTTAAATGTGCTTTAATGACCACTAATTTATTTTCAAACTTATTTCTCAATAATTCCAGCGCTTGTTTATAATTTTTATTGGTTAACGGTGAGTTAACTTTGAAACAAATTAATTAAATTTGAAGCTTCACCCGACAAAGCACCTTTTAAATATAGAAACTTTTGCACATCATTCAAGAATGAATGAGTATCAATTATTTCTGAAAACAAGTCAATAAAAGCTTGCCAATCTTCGACTTTACCGGAAAACGTGGGAATATTTACACTTGGCAACCTCGCATTACTCAGCGGCATTGCCGAAGCTGACTACATGAGTAGAAATGTTTTGGAAATTCAATTAGAGATTGGCTCATTTGCCTAAATTAAAATGTGTATTGCTCAGAACGTTATTTCTACCCACGTCTCGTTTGTTTTCTTTTACCTTAGTTACTAGAACCAAATACAACTTAAAATAAAAAACTAATTGTCACATCGCCCCCTAGACTATCTTATGTAGTTGGCAGGAGAGACAAATAGATCTTAATTACTCATTTCCCAACAATCTGTTTGGGGTGTATGGTTCTGTTGGTTATAATGTAATTACCGATTTATTCCCACGGTTATCTAGAAAGCTATATTTGTGTTGGATTTTGTGTTTGAAGACGGTATCGTTGATTTTGAGTTCGTTTAGAGCACAGAACTCTGTCAGCATCTCTCCTCGCTGGTTTCGGACTTCTTCGTTGATTGCTTGTTCCACACCGTCCGCAACCTGGTTTCCGATTCTGGTATTAAGATCGCCCAGTAAGATTAAGTTTTCCTCTTTTTGGATTTTACCTATTTAGGACTGTAGGTTTTCGTAAAAGGTTCTGTAACTATGATAAAATATTTTAACAGCGTGTTTTCCTAGTCATTTTAGAGGGGGGTCTTCCTGAGAATTTTTTTAACTTGAGGTTTCGATGTTGAGATATTTGATTTCCAAAATGGTGGAAAATATTAGTTTTTGTTGTTTTCCTTTAAAACGGTTAGACATAGAAACTTCAATTTTGGTATATTGGTATTTTAACA